GGTGTGTGTGTGTGTGTGTGTGTGTGTGTGTGTGTGTGTGTGTGAGGCCTGTAAGTTCATCCGTTCCCTCCCAGCTTCTCATCTTTAACTCCTGCTCTGGGGAATCCCTTCCAGATGAGTGCGTGTGTCTGTGTGTTGGTGGGTGAGTGCGTGTGTCTGTGTGTTGGTGGATGAGTGCGTGTGTCTGTGTGTTGGTGGGGGGAGGGGACTCTGCCCCATGCCTCCATCCCTCAGCTTTCAAAACAAGTTCATTGCTGGTGGACCCACCTCATCCCTCCTCTTAAGGCAGTGAGCACAGAAGGGCCTCTATGGTCAGAAGGGGTGGGGCAGGGTGTCAAATAGGAGAAAGGGGCATCAGAGAGGAAATACCAATTAACATTTTAAATATTCTCCACCACTCTCACATCTCAATTTCAAAAGAGAAAAACTTCACAGAGTCCACTGTCCTTACCTTCATATCTGTTGGGCAAAGCTTGGACCAGGGCACTTCATGAGCCACTGGCCACCTCCAGATCGGCTGACCTTGGGTAAGGGACCCACCCTGGTCCCTTCAGCTGTAGCCAAAGGTGTGGAATCCAGGGAATCTATATGGTGACTTGCGCTCAAGAAACTGCCTAGAAACCAACAGTGGAGGGACCCCAGGGTGGGGCAGGCGTGGCCCTGCCTGTTAGCTGCAGAGGGATGCTCACTGTCACCTGTCCTTTCCCTCCTCCAGGACCCTGCACGCACAAGGGAAGTTACCTAAAGGTAAGGCCTGTCCCTCCTGTAAAAGGTCACCGTTACCATCCCTCTAGGGTGAAACTGGTAAATATACGGAGAGCTGCCCTCAGCCAGGGCGGGGGTGGGGGGATGCAGGCCCACACTCTCCTGACTCAGCTCAGCGTGCCTGTCACGGCGGGTCCCCAGGTCTCGAAATCAGGTTGTATCCACTGGGAAGTATCCTCCAGATGTGAGGGAGGAGCGTGTAGTCGGGGTTCTCCAGAGAAACAGAACCAAACAGGACACACAGATAGATAGCTATGGTGGTATATGCACTTATATATATACATATAAAACAAGGAATTGGCTCACACAATTACAGAGGCCGAGAAATCTCGGGATCCGCCGTCGGCAAGCCGGGGGCCCAGGAGAGCTGGGGCGTCACTCAGCCCGAGTCCAGAGGCCTGAGAACAGGGGAGCCAATAGTGTAAATCTCAGTCTCGGGGCAGAAGACCGACGTCCTGCTCTGCAGTCAGACAGACAGGAATGGATTCTCCCTTCCTCCGCCTTCTGTTCTGTCCGGGCCCTCAATGGATTGGGTGAGGCCCACCCATGCTGGGGGAGCCTTCTGCTTTACCAAGTCATCCAATTCAAACGTGAAACACAGACACACCCAGAAACAACGTTTAGCCAAGTATCTGAGCACCCAGGACCCAGTCGGGTTGACACAGGAAGTTAACCTCCTCCGTAGGCCTTGCCCCTCACCTGCCTGGTTTCTCCCTGGCCAGGTCTGTTCCGCCTCTGGTATCCTTTCAGGATGTCCACCGAAACTCACACCCATCCCCCAGTTAACTGGCCAGGCTGTGGGTGACGCATGGGTGCTGGACGGGTCTGAAACTCTTCCCAACTCACAGGAAGGCGTCTGACCCGCTTGGCCAGTTTCTGTGCGACACCCCCTAACCTCCCTGAGCTGGTTTCTGTCACGATGTGCACCCTCACAGGAGAGCCCTGGGGATGGAATGATGGCCTTTCTGGCTGGCGGTGCCACGGGGGCTTCGGAACATGACCCTCGTGTGTTTGATCCTTGTATCAACCCTGGGAAACAGGCCAGTCCCACACTCATGACCAACACCATCATACAGATGGGGATACTGAGGCTCAGAGAGGTGAAAGGACTTCCCCAAGCCCGTCAGTTCTTTAGTGACAAGCAGGAACCAGGTCTCTGGCCTCCCAGGACAGAAGTCCTATCTGCATCCCCTCTCCCTGGGCCTCGATCCCAGCCTCTAGCAGCCGACCCTTCCCTGCTGGGGGCACAGAGCAGGTAGAGGGCGGCCGTCAGGTGTTCTGGGGCCCTTTCACCCTTCTTATCTGTGAGAATGATGGGCAAAGAGCAGCTCTGCTGACACTGCCCTGCCCTGAGCCCAGAGCAAGGGGTGGGCACCCAGGAAGATCTGCCTGAAGCAGCAAGTCTCCGCTCTGCCCGCCCCCCAGGGTGCTTGGTGCTCACGCTTCAGTCTGTGAACCTGCTGCGCAAGTACCTGTCACTGCTGGACCTGCCCTGCTCCCTGCTGTGTGCCCGCGATGCCCTCTTCCTGCTCAGCCGCCGAGAGGCGGCCCAGGCCCAGGTGAGGACCACCCCGCCACCCCTGTGCTCCCCCCCCAGGTCTGCGCCCCGTCCCTGGCTCTTCAAAGCCCCTCACCGAGGCCTTCCACAGCAGTTCTGTCCCCAGAGCTGGCCCGCAGCCAGACCCTGGGAGCCGCAGACCAGGGACTTGCACATTTTCTTCTGATTATAGAAATAATATGTGCTGGAAAAAAGGCAATTAATAATACAGGCTCAGTGTAGAAAATCTGGAAATACAGAAAAGAAGAAACCCCAGTGCCTGCAAGCCCACCCCTCAGGGGTAGCCACTCTTGACAGTATATACGCCCTCCATAAAGAGTATTCACGCACAGGCATTTAGAGCGGGGGCCACAGAGCCTGCTTATTTGAAACCTACTTTAGCAACATCACGACCATTTTCTCCAGGGTTATTAGGTGTTCACCTTGTAATGTCTGCCTGTGTTCCATGGCATGGGCGCACCATAAGATAGGTCACACACCCCTTATGGTTGGACATCTCGATTTACCGGTTTTTCCCTGCTACACGTGGACCAGTGCTCCCAGCTTGAGCCAAGAGGAACTCAGACCTGCCAGGAGCCTCTGTAAAGAGCCACTGGGGCTGACCACGGGTTGCCGGCTGAGGAGTCAGGCCCAGCGAGGCCCTCCTGGTGAAAACTCTTGGTGGTCGGTGGGGCAGGTGGTCTGAGAAGGCTGCTGGGGAGTTGTAGCCTTGACCCTTTCCATTTCTGCTATCCAAGTGGAAAGGTTCAAAGGCTAGAGCCCATGTTGAGCCATTAAATGACACAGGTGTGTAAACGGCTATCATTTTCTGGGAAGCAACAGTAGTAAATATCAGAACTCTTCTCAGAAGTTGTACTTACCTTTTGAAGTTCTTGATACGTTCAGTAGACACAAGCGGGTTGCAGAGCAATATATCAATAAATCTATACTTTCTCTGACCCACTAATTTTTATTTCCAGAATTTTATCCTAAAGAAATAAAGTTGTGTCCAGAGGCTGACGTACAAGAATGTTCACTAGTGTAATTTATGAGGCCCAAAAAAGGAGCTAAAATCATTTAGCAGGTGAATGATATGGTACTATATAATCAGAAAAATCATAGTTTTGAAACACACGTAGTGAAAATGTTCCAAAAGTAGGGAGGAAATAGCAACAATTTTGATATTTTGCAGTATTCCTTTGAAAATTCTGAACGAAAAGTAATAGGAAGAAAAGCTTGTAAAAAACCAAACTGGCCATAAATATATAATTACTGTAAGCGCCCATCTTATTGAGTGGGTGCTGCAGCCACTGAAAGACGAGGGAATCTACAAAATTGGCCACCTGGGCAGCAGGATGTGGGAAGCCCCTGTGACTCGGAATCTCTCACAAGTAGACAAGTGTGTTTGGACCACAGAGTTCCTATCTTCCCTCAACGTTTTTCTAAAATGAACCTTTTATTCTCACTATGGTCTTCAAAACTGAAACATTATTCTGTGAGTTCACACATCCATTTTGTTTCTGAAAGTCATTTTTATTTAAAAATTTTAGTTGTATTTCCTGTTGAAACCATGCTATGTAATATTTTGCCTGAATATGGTGATAATTCTCTTTATCAACTTAAAGCTTACAGTCATCACAGGGGTGTTTACATCCCTAAAGCCACGGATGTTCCAATAGTGAATATAAAATGAGCTTTTAACGTAAAGGTTTGCAATGATATTAGCTTAGATTATAAGCATTAATCATGGTACCTAGAGAAAAACAGGAACCATTTATATAGGTTGCATCTAGTTAAATCAGTTGTTGTGATCTATTCTGTTTAAAGACTGAGCTACACTAGATCTGAATGACAGGATAACGTTTCCCCCACTGTATGGCAAGGAGAGCCAGTACATATGGGTACTATTCCTTTCCTTCTTCTTCTAAGAGTGACTGTAATTACCCAGCTTGGCTAATCCATAGGAGTCTGGGCACAAAACAGCCCTATACGAGTTATATATGCAGGGTAGTGGAGCCAGGGATTAAGAATGTAGGCTCCACAGTCAACCAGACGGCTCTGGGTTTAATCTCAGCTTTACTCCCTACTTGCTATTTGAGACTGATGAACCAGTTTCCTCATCTGTTAAAAAAAGCAATAATAATAGTCCTTTACCCACAGGGCTGTTACACTGAGGTAGTGCTCGGCTGCATCAACACCCTCTGCTGTTATCACACCGGTATCAGGAGACAGGCGGGGGAGGCCAGTCCAGAGGGGTTCGAAGGGCACAGCAGAAGCCAGATCAGGCCATAGCTTGCAGTATGTGGGTGGGAGGAGGCCTGAAGGAGAGGAAGCAGAGTGAAAACAACAAACCACCGGCACCAGCACTCACGACCGGTCCTCTGATTCTTCCAGAGAGCCATGTCCTGCCACCGCAGCCAGCTGCTCTGGTTCCGCCACCTCTATGTGCTCTTCTCCCGGTACATGAGAATCAACTCTCTGCACTTCCTCTGAGCCGGGAAGGGCTCTCAGACCCAAGGAACAGAGAGAAAAATGGCCAGGGAGCCCAGGGTGTGTCCGGAGCGGCTCATCTCCCTGAGACAAGGAGATCCCAGCATAAGACTGCGTCCCGGGCCCGTCTCCTCCAAGCTGCCCGGCCTCTAAGAAAATGGAGGCCCTGCAGGCCACCGGCCTGTCCAGAATTGAGCTTCTTCCTCTGGGGAGCAAATCCACAACCAGCGGAACACACACCACCCGAGGACAACAGCCACCCTGCTGGCTTCTCAAGCTCTTGTGCAAGACAGTTTACATAATGCACAATGTATGTCAACCCCCTAACACAGACACGCAATTGTCGTAAATGAATGTAAAGTGCTCTGAAATCCCTTCTTAAATGCAATGTATTTTTACGTTGTTTCCAAAGCAGCCTCATCAGACATAAACACACACAAAAGAATGGTCTAGGGCTTCCTTGGTGGCGCAGTGGTTAGGAATCCGCCTGCCAATGCAGGGGACGCGGGTTCGAGCCCTGGTCCGGAAAGATCCCACATGCCGCGGAGCAACTAAGTCCGTGCGCCACACCTACTGAGCCTGCGCTCTGGAGCCCAGGCGTCTAGAGCCCGTGCTCCGCAACAAGAGAAGCCACCGCAATGAGAAGCCCGCGCACCGCAGCAAAAAGTAGCACCCGCTCGCCTCAACTAGAGAAAAGCCCAGTGCAGCAGCAAAGACCCAGTGCAGACAAATTAATTAAATAAATAAATTAATTAAAAAAAAAGAAGAATGGTCTATACTGAATTAGTTCAACCATAATTCCTTGGATTTATCTTTGTGGCCTACATACCAGATTTGAATCTAGGGAAGACATGTCCGTTTAACGGCATACAATCAAATATCTCACTGTCAGTCTTTTGGGAGAAGCAGGAAATAGGAAGAGAGATCTGGAGCTTAACACTCAGGAACCTATGTCCTAAAATGGTGCTACAAATAAAAGGGAAGCAAGGGGTCTGGCTTGGAAGCTGTTCCGAGTCCAGCTGGTGGTCCAGGAAGTGGCGCAAAGAGGGGAAGCTCCAATTCAGAAAGAGAGAAGACAAACGTGCCGTTACTGGGAACAGAATGGATAGGACAGCCACAAAAATGGAAGAGACTGAGAAAACTATAAGAGCTGATATGCACAGTCCAGGACAACAAAACTGAAAATCGAAAGGAAATGGATGACTTCCGAGTACACGTTGGACCACCGCCAGACCCTACCGTAATGTCACAGATAGGGTCCAAACACTTCAATCCCATAAAACGCAGGGTTGCATCACTGCAAGATGAGTGACAACCAGTTTTTTTAATCTTCCCAGGACTCAGCATCAAGCTAGTGCACCCAAGACCTGAAGGAGGTCGGCGTTCCTGGGCAGGTGGCTGTCCTGCTTCCTTGGCCGAGTCTAGGAGTGAGGGAGGGACACCTGTGCAGCAAGATGCTCGGGACCAAATGCATGGCAGCAGGGGGGAGAGGCAGAGGAGCCAGGCTCTGCAAGGGGCTGGACCCCCAATGGACGGAGGCTGGCGTGGTGGCTGTCTCCGTCCACTGGAGAGCTGCACACTGCTGCTTTTGTTGAGCCCTTGCAAAGTAAAAAACGCTCTCCTTAAACTGAGAGAGTCCCATCTGGGGGTCGCCTCCAAACCCCCTTCCACACCCACCCCCCCAGTACAGCTTTGGCCACCCACATTTGAGAATAGGAACTAGGGAAGAAGAACTGGATTATATCCAATGGTGGGCACCTTATTAATGGGACTTTACATGACTACAATTGACTTAAAAAGTGAAAGGGAACAGACCCAATAACCACAGAAGAAATTAGAAAGGTAATTATAACAGATTTTTTAAAGATTCCTAGTCTAGATGGTTTTGCAGCTATCTAAAAATAATTCCAATATTATTTAGAGCATAAAATAGAAAAGTACTCCAATTCACAGACAACAAAACATGAAATAGCACCAAAAAAAACCCTGAAATTTTATTTGTGAATACAGATGCAAAAATGTAAAAGAAAATATTAGCAAACTGAATCCAGCAGTGCATCAAAAGAATTACGACTCCATGACCAAGCAGGGTATTATTCCAGAGTGTAAGAATGGTTCTACTTTGGGAAATCCATCAACATAATTCATTACATCAACAAATTAAGAAGAAAAACCATATTCTACGCATAGGCACCGAAAGATAACAAAATTCAGTCACTATTCCTAATAACAACCTTCAAGAAAAATAGGAAAAAAGAATACAACGTAAATATAATAAAGACTATTTACCAAAATCTAGCACCTAAAACCAAGTGGACAAGGTAGAAAGGTAAGCTGCCATCATCGTGATTATCAAGGTTGTTCTGAAGGGTGAAGCTGACAAAGTAGGACAGAACAAGAAAATAACTGATATAAGTATTAGAAGAGACAGCTATGTTTAGAAACCCAAGAGATGTCCATAAAATCTACTAAAATAAGTGAGGGAATCTGGTAAGGCAGCTGGATAATAGATATCTTTACAAAAATCAATAGACTGTCTTTAATTGGCAATAATGTGACAGAAATGAAAATGGGGGAAAAAATCCCATTCTCATCAACTTCAAGAACTATAAAATACCTAGGAATAAGCTCAACATAAAAGATATAAGATCTGTCTAAATTTTTTTTTTTTTTTTTGCGGTACGCGGGCCTCTCACTGTTGCGGCCTCTCCCGTTGCGGAGCACAGGCTCTGGACGCGCAGGCTCAGCGGCCATGGCTCACAGGCCCAGCCGCTCCACGGCATGTGAGATCTTCCCAGACCGGGGCACGAACCCGTGTCCCCTGCATCGGCAGGCGGACTCTCAACCACTGCGCCACCAGGGAAGCCCCGATCTGTCTAAATTTTATAATCACTATTAAAATTCCAGCTATCTTTTTTGCAGAAACTGACAAATTGATCCTAAAACAATATGGAATTGCAAGAGCCTCAGAAGCCAAACCATCTTAAAAAAAGAACCAAGTTGTAAGACTCACATGTCCCAATTTTAAAAACTACTACAAAGACCTAAATTTAAGAGCTAAAACTATAGAACTCTTAGAAGAAAACACAAATGTTAATCTTTGTGACCTTGGATTAGGCAACAGTTTCTTAAATATGATACCAACAGCACAAGCAACAAAAGAAAAAATAGAAACCTTTGTACATCAAAGGACACTATCAAGAAAGTGAAATGGAGGCTTCCATGGTGGCACAGTGGTTAAGAGTCCATCTGCCAATGCAGGGGACACGGGTTCGAGCCCTGGTCCGGGAAGATCCCACGTGCCACGGAGCAACGAAGCCTGTGTGCCACAACTACTGAGCCGGGGCTCTAGAGAGCCTGCAAGCCACAACTACTGAGCCTGCGCGCCTAGAGCCTGAGCTCCGCAACAAGAGAAGACACCGCAGTGAGAAGCCTGCTCACAGCGACGAAGAGTAGCCCCCGCTCACTGCAACTAGAGAAAGCCCACGCACAGCAATGAAGACCCAACACAGCCAAAAATAAATAAATAAAATAAATTAATTAATTATTTTAAAAAGTGAAATGGGAAAAAGTATTGGCAAATCAAATATCTGATAAGGACCTAGTATCCAGAATATATAAACAACTCAACAACAAAAAGACAACCTAATTAAAAGATGGGCAAAAGACCTGAATATACATTTATCCAAGATTTTCAAACGGCCAATGAGCACAAGAACATCATTTGTCATTAGGAAATGTCTATCAAAACTACAATGAGGGGACTTCCCTGTTGGTCCAGTGGTACAGAATCTGCCTTCCAATGCAGGGGACACGGGTTTGATCCCTGGTTGGGGAACTAAGATCCCACATGTGGCGGGGCAACTAAGCCTGCATGCCACAACTAGAGAAGAGAAAAGCCGCACGCCACACATAGAGAGAAGCCCGCGCGCCACAACAAGAGATCCCGCGAGCCACAACTAAGACCCAGCACAGCCAAAAAACAAAAACAAAACAAAAAAATGCAATGAGATACTATTTCACACCCAGTAGAAAGGCAGTGATTAAAACAAACTAACACAGACAATAACAAGCGTTGGTGAGCGTATGGAGAAATGGAACCCTCGAACATGACTGGTGGGAATGTAAAACGGTGCAGCTGCTGTGGCGAACAGTTTCGTTCTTCCTCAGTAACTTAAAGATTTACCATCAGACCCAGCAATTCCACTCCTAGGTATACACCCAAGAAAACTGAAAACACGTCTGTACAAAAACTTGTGCACGGGTGTTCGTAGCAGCATTATTCATAACAGCCAAAAAGTGGAAACAACCCAAATGTCCATCAACTGATGAAAAGATAAATATGGCATTTTGTATATTATTCAGCCATAAAAAGAAATGAAGTGTTTGACACATGCTATAGCGAGGATGAACTCTGAAAAACATTATGCTCAGTAAAATAAGCTGGGCACAAAAGGCCATCTACCGTACAACTCCACTTATATAAAATGTCCAGAACGGGCAAATCCACAGAGACAGAAAGTAGATTGGTGTTTTCCGGGGGGGGGGAAAAGGAGTGATCGATGAGGAGTGTGGGGATTCTTTGGGGGATGTGCAGTGTTCTGTATTTGGCAGTGGTGAAGGCTGGACAGACTTGTGAATATATAAAAATCGCTGAATTCTACGCATTAAAAGGTACATTTTATGGTGCATGAATTCTATCTCAATTCAAGAAATAATACTGCATTAAAATGTTCTAGCTTACTCTAAGGATATGCACATGATAAAGCTGGCACTGCTCTCTGAGCCTGGTGATACTCACCTTACCTGCTAGCCTAGTAAATCCTGCAGAGTACAAATCTTATTTGTACGTTAACCCAGTTTTAGTGCTTACTGCTTTTCTTTTAAATATAGTTTTTAAAAGTTAAAAAAAAATTTAATGCAGGACATAAAACAAGCCCTGAATAAATGGAGAACTGTACCACGTTCCCTGATAGAGATTTAATATAAAATCCTTACAGGGCTTCCCTGGTGGCGCAGTGGTTGAGAGTCCGCCTGCCGATGCAGGGAACACGGGTTCGTGCCCCGGTCCGGGAAGATCCCACATGCCACGGAGCAGCTGGGCCCGTGAGCCATGGCCGCTGAGCCTGCGCGTCCAGAGCCTGTGCTCCACAACGGGAGTGGCCACAACAGTGAAAGGCCCGCGTATAGGAAAAAAAAAAAAAAAAAAACCTTACAAAGTTAATAAATAAACTGAAAAGCACCAAATATATATGGTATATACAAGTTCCAATTTCTAAACTTATATATTTACATGTTATATTCATCGATTCCCATTCTTACAGAGTTAACATATACATTTAATGTAGTTGCAGTCAGAAACTCCATAGATTATCTCTGGACTTGGATAAAATTATTTTTGAAATATATTAGAAGAGGAGATGTCCAAGGATAGCCAAAATATCAATATTAAAAACAATGCAGATATGGGACCTGCCTTTCTATACATTAAAACTTATAAAGCCACGGCAACCAAAACA